TCTGGAGAATCAAATTCTAAGCGTAAATGCAAATTAGCTAGACAAAGCTTAATTTGTTATGTTGAGTTCACAGTGCTGTCAGGCACAACTTTTTGTGAATCCGTGCTCTTTGCTCCTAAAGATTTCACGTCATTGGCCTGAAAAAGCGGTGCAACTGCCTGGTAGTATCACACGGTGCACATTGCGCACCCTTCCTTCCAAGGCTGTTATAAAATGCATCTATAGAGGCATAAAAACGTTTGGTGAAGATTTTGGTTTGAGGTGTGTCGGGAAGAATCACAGCTCTGAAGATTTTTGGTTCGATAATTAGGTGGGGATAATGAAAAGCTGGCTTACTCGTTAGCATTGTTAGCTACTAGGGTGCTGTGTTACCGAGTCTTAAACTTCTCCTTTTCTGGTTTTAGTCTGGTTTTGTAAAGACACAGAAACGTCGTGTGTCTGCCTGCCCCGCTCATCCCGCTGCGTGCGGATTTGGGGTTCCAGGGGTGCTGGCCTGATGGCAGGGAGGGGGTAGCCTGGCCGGGGGGGCGGATCAGACTGCCTGCGCTGCAGAGGTTAATGTAAGGGTGGCCATGCGTACGTGGGGTGGTGCTCTGTTTCCTCACAGAACTCTGTGCTTATAGGGCTTGGCTGTTACTGTGCTCCATTAAATCAAAGAGAATCGTTCTGCTGACCCCCGCGAGCAGGGTGCCTCCTCGCACCTCTCATCTGCTCCGCAGTGGCACAGACCCCAAGGCTTCCCTCGTGTGGGGGTTGTGCCTGGCTTGGGAGGTCAGCCCCTAACCCGCCCTCTGTGTGCCGCCGGGACGGCGTGCCCCAAGCCCACCACGTGTGCTGTAGATGGTCTTCAGCGCAGGTATGCAGTGGGGCTGGTAGGCAAAGGGGGATCATAGAATCCTAGAATCCCAGGTTGGAAGGGACCTCCAGGATCATCTGGCCCAACTTTTCCAGGCAAGAGTCCAGCCTAGACAAGATGGCCCAGCACCCTGTCCAGCTGAGGCTTGGAAGTGCCCAGTGTGGTGGCAGAGCCAAACCCTCCCCTGGGGAGATCATTCCAATGGGTAACTGTTCTCGTGGGAAAAAATTTCCCTCTTGTGTCCAATGGGAATCTTCTCTGGATTAACTTGTACCCATTACCCCTCGTCTTTTCCACATGACTCCTTGTGAAAAGGGAGTCTCCATCTTCTTTGTAGCCACCCATTAAATCCTGGTACGTGGTGAGGAGATCCCCTCTGATCCTCCTTTTCTCATGTGTGTCTGAGCTTCTGGGTCGTTAGAAATCCCAGATAAACCTCCCCCAGGAAAGGAGAACATGTCCGAGAAACTAAGACTTCTATCTGCCTTATGCAGATCTGTAGAGGCAGATGCAGGAAATTTTGTCCTGTCAGTGGCTTTTCCTAAAGACAGAATGCCCCCATGGCCGGTTCCCTTCTTGTTATAAACAAGAACACACCCCAGGGATACAACAAATTGATTAAACGAGTGTCAGAACAGCTGTCAAGGAGATATCAGCACGCGTTAGCAGTGCTGTGATGGCCACGAAGGTGAGGGGACTGTAAAACCTTCACACATCATCAAACCCAAGCAACCTTTTCAACCTAACTGTACCACGAGAGCGACTGTAGAATCCTAAAGGCTGTAAATTTATAATTTAACAGATTTCTGAGAGCGTTAATTGCAGCTGTGTTTCCTAAAAACTGCTGTGAAAAGGTCACCTAGGAAAGAGAGCTGCGTCTGGGTAAGATTCAGCAGCTGCCTGCCACCCAGAGGCCCCGGGGGTTCCTCGTCGGGGCCGAGATCGGGGCTGACGTCTTGCCCTGAACTCTCGCCCTTGGGCTGCCTTTCCCCCCGGAGCAGCCCGGCTCGCAGCCGGGGTGTCAGCCTGCATTTTCTGCATTGGCTCCGCATTTACGGCTCGACCGGCTTCCCCACCGCTTTGAAACCCTTCCTTTTTAACGGCATGAATTAACGCTCAGCTGATCTCGTGTCTGTGTCCTGGTGATCTGTAACAAGAAATAATGCTTGTGAGCAACCAGGTTCTTGACAGATCATCAGGTTTTTATTATTTTTCTGTCTTTCAGAGCTGTTTCCGTGATTTGTTTCCATTGCCTTTCGGAGCCGATGTAGTACAGAATAGGTGGGGGATGGTTTTACTCCCTGCTATGTGGTCTAATTATGATTTTCAAGCAGTATGGAAGACTTGGCCATGAGTTTAGCAGCAGGGCACGTGTTCTAGGACAAGGGAAAACGGCCTCAAGCTGTGCCAGGGCAGGGTGAGGTTGGCCATGGGGAACAATTCCTTCCCCTTGGGGCTGTCAGGGGCTGGAAGGGGCTGCCCAGGGAAGGGGTCGAGTCCCCAGCCCTGGGGGGGTTTAACAGCCGGGCAGAGGCGGTGCTGAGGGCCAGGGTTTGGTGATTCTGTGATTCTCCTCATGCAGGGGCAGGGACCGTTGCAATACCTGCCTGTGAACGGGTCAGGACAGGGCTGGATGCTGAGCTCAGCCCCAGGCCTGGGCAGCAGCGGGCACCAACCTGCCTCCCCCAGCCACCAAGGCGGGCGCCCGCGGCTCCAGCCTTGCCTCTTGTGCCATCAAAAGGCTCCGTTTTCTGCAGATTAATTTTGAAAGCACAAAAACTCCATCACTAACTATTTGACTTAGGCCGAGTGGAGCTGAATGGCTGCTTCGTCTGCAGTTTTCACAGGAGTCCCCCCAAATCGGAAACTGCGGATCCCCAGCTGCCCGCGGGGACGCTCCCAGCTCAAGGCTTCGTTTCCTCCCGGGCCCCTCCAGCCCTTCCAGCCACGGCAGCGGACGGACACGTGTGCTACGTAAGGGATTCCAGCCTTAAGCTTACTGCGTATGCATTACAAATAGAGATCGCTGCAAGGGCTAAGGGCTAATAAGGTTTTCGAAATCCACATTATTGCTAATATAGAAGACAAATATTTTAAATCCTTTTCTTTAGTTGGTAAACAAACTGATGCTCTTTGTGTTTTCTGGGTACGCAACCGATAGTGATATTAGCTAATGTTTTATGTATCCAGCACAACATGTAAATATATTGCATAGCTATCCTACCGCATTTTCCAATACCATAATGACTGCCTTCTCATAGAGATGTCTTTCCAAAAAGCATCCTGGCATCCTTTAGCAATTGCATGATAAGTATATGTAAATGTATTACAACTCACTCATAAGCACCATTTACCCAAATGAAATACCCCCGGTAATTAGGGGATGATACCAGCAATTAACGTAAACCAGGTTTCTAAAGGGCAAAACAAACAGTTCTCAGTGCAGAATCAGCCGTTAGTCTAAAAAGAATACATGTTTAAAATGGATTTAAAAATTTAACCTAATAGATTTAAAAAAAAAATAAAAAAATTAATAGATTTAAAATTTAACCTGTTCTGGTGGGAGTATGAGAACCAAGGCCACGCTGTCACGTGCTGCTTTTGGGATGTAGGAGTCATCAAATAGTTTTAATTATAAATCTTCTTCTCATTTGCTGTTATGCATCGCTTCAACATCCAACATAAAAATGCTGTAGGCTTCTATGCACCTCTGTGTGTGTGTGTGTGTGTAAAATGAATAGTATCCAGTTTATTTCCAAAAGATTTTACCAGAAATAAATAATATGTAATGGAAGGAACAGCTTTTAAACCCCCTGCTATTAAGCCCCAAAGGATCGCCCTCCACAACTGCCTGGCAGGAGGCTGTAGCGAGGGGGGGGTCGGGCTCTGCTCCCTGGTGACGGACGATAGGACGAGGGGGAATGGTCTGAAGCTGCGCGAGGGCAGGTTTAGGTTGGACATTAGGAAAAACTTCTTCACCGAAAGGGCTGTCAGGCTCTGGAATGGGCTGCCCAGGGAGGTGATCGAGTCCCCATCCCTGGGGGTATTTAAAGGAAGGGGCAATGGTTTAGTGGTGGGATGTCACGGTTAGGTTAAAGGTTGGACTTGATGATCTGAAAGGGCTTTTCCAACCAAAGCGGTTCTATGATTTTATGATTCTATGATTCCCAGGTCTGGTTTTCACGTGTGACACTCACAAGTGCTGTATCTCACCCCAAATACTGCTCCTGGCTGCGGGAGCCCTGGCGTCCTGCACTGACGCTTCACAGCTTCATTGCGTGTTGCCAGAAACCCAGCTTTGCCCTACCCGTGGGTCTCTTTGTGGCATAAAATTGTGAAGAAAAGCAGACAGAAATGGTTAAAAATCAGGCGTACTGGTGGTTACCCCGGGTCAGCACAATCTCAGCAGAGCTTGTGATGGGAGGTGATGGCGGGGGCTCCCATCTAGGTCAGGGCTTGGCGCGGGCAGCTCGCGTTAGGGAGGCGATGCCTGAAATCCCCAACCCGCCCCGACGGCTGTGCCGGCTCCAGGCTCGCCCCCATCCCATGGAGATGCTGAAAAGCCCCAGGGGGGCCCAGGGCTCCAGGAACAGCATTGCAGATTCCAGTCCTATAAATATTTATGCAGTGAAATGCTTTTAATGCTTACGAGTAGTTCTTCTGCATAGCGTGTGTTCACAAGATTTATCAACCTGAATGGACAATGTCGGGTAGTGTTCCTTCAGCTGGTATTTCTGACTGTTTTAAAGCAGGGAAAAATGCAGAGTTTTCCAGATCAGTATCATAGAATCCTAGAATCCCAGGTTGGAAGGGACCTCCGGGATCATCTGGTCCAACCTTTTCCAGGCGAGAGCCCAGCCTAGACAAGATGGCCCAGCACCCTGTCCAGCTGAGGCTTGGAAGTGCCCAGTGTGGCAGAGCCAACCCCTCCCCTGGGGAGATCATTCCCATGGGTGACTGTTCTCATGGGGAAAAATTTCCCTCTCGTGTCCAATGGGAATCTTCTCAGGACGGCGTACGTACCTTCCAAACATGGCTCTTACAACTTAAATGCCAAAATCAAAATAAAAATTAAGAATTTAGTAACAAATTAGGCGGAAAGCCAAAGACTGCTGAATACTGAGATTGTTGGAGCTGGTAACCGATGCCGATGGCACGAAAGCCATCGAACGTGGCCGTAAGCGCCGTCAGTCCTGCCGCCTGGCGTTTCTTGCCAGCCCAGCAGCTGGTGGGGAAGGGCAGGGACTGCGGGAGCCGGGGCCGCCGGGGCAGGTCGCAGCAGGTCAGGATCGGGCTCGCTCTTGCACCGCAGGCACCGGGCAGCGTCAGATCCAGCTCCTGCATCCCGGGAGAACGTGGGAGCTGACCGGGAGCGCGGGCTGCTCACCGGTGAGCACTGCAGGCACAGGCACAATGACGGTTTTACACTCAAACCAGCTTTGCCCACAGTATTTTATTTTTCTTTTTTTAGCTTTAGGGAGGACGAGGCTCCTATAGAAGCCTCCGAACTTTTGCAGAGACTTATTTTCACTCGGTAGAGAATCAAACTGGGGAAATTGCATGGGTGGCCTTCACCCGCTCAGCTGGCTCGCGCAGTTAGGCATTAGCAAAAAATAACGTCTTACAAAATAAGGTGCAGCCTTTCCCAGCTGTGGTTGCCGCTGCAATTTGTGTAAGCGTTGAAAGATCTGAACAGTAGCAGCCTGAACTTCAGCTCCTGCCAGTCACCATTGCTTCATTGCAGCTAGCAGAGAGTTTCCTCTGCAAAAAAAGGAAAATAAAGAGAAAAAAAGAGAAAAGAGAGGCTGCCCCCCCCTCCTCACCAGGGGCCTGCCCCAGCCTATTCCCCGGTGTAAAACAGTCGCCGCTCTGCAGAACCTGTTTGAACTAAATGGCCACTTTTTTTTTTTTTTCTAATTGAAGTGGTTAAATAACCCCCCCTCAACGTTTCGTTCTGCTCATGATTTCTTATCTTCCCGTTTTCTGTGACGTCCCCCCCCCACGCAGCAAGGTGTTCTGCATTTGTATGAAGAGGGCTTGAGTACGCGCCCGTGCACGTGGATCCAGAGGGGGAGGAGAACGAAGAGGAAGCCAAGCCTAGCCCGCCGTTCTTAACATGGAAACGGAATTCCACCTTTTTATTCCCAGTATGGATGATAAGTGGGAAGACAGGAGAGAATTCGCGTTCACGCTTAGGAGTGACAAGGCTCGTGGTTTCCCGGGCAGGGCTGGGGTCCACCCCAGCGCCCGCCATGTTCGGGCGAGGGCGCTGGGGAGGC